ATTTAAATACACTTAAGATTTCTAGATATCTCCACTGCCCCTTAATATTTCAAATATATCCTCGAAAGTCACAATTAATAAATAAATACAGTCTTATTTTTATTTTATTTTTTTAAATTTATTAGTTAAGCATCAAATAGCACCTAACATTAGCTTTAACGAGCATTACATTTTTACAATGCTAAACATATTTTGTAATTGTACAAGTCAAATTGTGAACACATGGAATGTCAAAAAAAAAACCATGTGTATAGGTATAGGCACAAGAAAAGTAATAAAGTCTACAGGTATTACAGGTTACTTGACATGTTATTAATAATGTTAGAAACAACTAAACGWTGTCTAATAATATGGTGTTGTCTCGGCAAAAGCCGGAATGCCTAAGACGAAGTGTCGACGTTGCTCAAATGGGCACTCGTGTTGTTTGGTTCCGGCTTTTGCCCACGACTTATCTCACACGAAACACCAATGTAAATCTTGTCGATGTTCGCGTGTTTCCACAGTGGGTTTACCAAGTCCAAGTGGTCAAGTGTCAAGCAAAACGGCGTCAACGATCGTGCGGAACTCAAACGCCGTCGACTACGCAAACGGTAGCGGTTCGCCATTCAAGACCATTTCCGTCGACGCTGACCTTTCGTCGATGCATGCCGCCCCCACTGATCCGTCGTCAAACACGACGTGTAATAAATGGCACACAATTTTACACGACGTTATTATATTTACATGTACCTGCTATTACCGCCACGTATATTATGTACCGCAGTGTAAAATACTGTCACCATAATGTGTATACAGGCATTAAGCCCCCCCCCCTCAAATATACGTGCGTTTTACGTTGTCCGAAATTATTTCCCACTTCCCATCACCTTAGAACCGTGACAGAGAGAACTATTAGACGATAACAGTAGTTTCTATTTCGATCGACCATATACRTCACAACTCGTAACTATATTACCGTGGTACAAGACTCTGCAGTTTATTGATAATCGCATCGCGCCAACAAGACGTAGGTTGCCATTTTCAATTGTATCGTATCGACATTTAGAAATCCAACAAGCTTTTTCGATACCGAGAAGTATAATATATTGTATTAAATTATGACTAGGGAACTGATTTAATTGATGTATTAAAGAAAACAAAAAAAATTCGATTTAATGCACTTATAACAGATATTTTTGTTTTTAATGAACTAAAAAATGCCCTTAAAATTATTTTTGTTACTTTATAAATTCTTATGCTTATTGATTGTTCGTATGATTGTTTTATTCTGTATTCGTATTTCTCGATCTAATTTTTACCCTGAAAATGAATTGTATCAATAAAAACTTAATAGATAATAAAAATAGAAGTACGTCAAAATTAATAATTGAAAACATACAAATGCACTTCAAAAATATCGAAAAATGAAAAGTTCCATTTTTTAATTCCTTGATGTATTAAATGAACTTTGTGCTTATTAGAAATCATTAATCAATTATATCAGASATTCAGAAAAAAATACATTATGACCGTCGTRTAACAATCATATTATAACCACTTWTATGTAGATATACCATATACTATACAATAACTACCTATACTTGCAGTATGTGTAARTATAATTTGGAAACTTCGTGTTGCTGAAGTTTTCACTTGGATATCTTATATTATTTTGAAATACGAAGGCACGATGTTTACAATAATTGTTGTTATTTCGGGTGTTACTTATTTTCAGCCACGACTCCGAAAAAAAATAACATTCCGATCGTTCTTCCGAATCCACCGACAGTTGAAGATATGTACGACGTCGCCATTTTCAATCCTAATATGTATCCCATCGTCGACTATCCCAAAAGTAATTTATAAACTATACGAGGCGTGCACAGACGCACGCTGTATAATGTATAAACACAGTATATATAATGTAGTTGTACACAGTATAATAACAAGATATTTTATATTCACTTGAATGTGCATGCAATTTTATAATTGAAAATAGTACAATGTATATAATATTTATTATAAACGTTTGTGAGTATGGTTTGGATTTTTCGGATTCGTATAATAAATATCGTATAAACTATACACATACCATTATACACGCAGTCATGGGCATGCGGTGGCACGGCAATGGTATATCGAAGTCTCCGTTTTCATTATAATAATAATAATAATATCATAATATATAGAGTCATATGCATAATACCTTTGGGGATTTARGACGCCGATCGATTGAAAACCATCCGCCGGATCCTACAATAGTGTGGTATGTAGGAAATATAAAATCTAAAAGGCCTCTGCGTGAAGTTYGGTTGTGTATAATAATATAATAGTATCAATTTGCGTGTGTATAAATATGCACWATTGTAGAAAAAAAATACGTTTGCGAAAACCGTAAGGCAACTTCCGCGTTGAACAATAATTTAATTTATTAACGCATCGTAAAACATCGTTGCGACAACAATGATAATATTCTCTCGGCACAATTAATTTCGCATAATATAGGATTGAACAATAATATTATATATTTTAGTTTCGCGAGGTCACGACTCACGAGGGCAAATATCGAACACAAAAGATTATATGTACTTTTTTATAAATTCCGTAACGCCAGTGGCAGCGCGTTTCGGTATTGTATAAATAAGATTATAATATAATATTCATGATTATAAAATACTATATATATATACGAGCATAAAATGTTGTTATTATAAATCACTGTAAAATTATATATTTTTATATTTATATTTTTTTCTGTTGTATTCTAACGACGATTTCGTGCACTATAAAAAGACCAACGGCCCGTCGTTAAAGGGAATTTTTTCGTATATTTCATGCAAATGCATTCATTATATGAATACAATTATCACGTACCGGTAAAAATAATAAGCACACGCGATGTTGAAATTAGTCCGAAATAATAATGACGATAATAGCATTAAAACTTTATGATTTTCACTCTATGATCGTCTGGTATTTGCATAATTAAAATGTATGTTTATCATATTATACTACAAATATGTCAATCTAAAATATAATATTTGGCTCGGCGAACCATTTAGAAATTTTTAGAATCACCAATAATCCGATAAAGGCTTCCACTGAAATAGTAAAATTACTAKAAGATAGAAATAGTAAGCTACTGAACTAGGTATACAACTATAGTTAATATTAAATATTATCACCTATTAGCTGTTGTTCTATTTACCCTTTCAAAAACTCAGAATCCCATTTGCAGAGGCTCTTTGCCACACAATTGGGTATGTATTACTATATAAACGGATTTCATCAGCAGGTCCTGTTTGATAGTAATAACTAATAACCCATCATTCATTAAACGATATTATACAAAAACGTATTCGGAAAATCCAACTTAACTTTTTCCGCACCTTAACTAATATAGAACACTAGTCATGTTATATCATAATATTATTGTAGCTGTTTATTCGTATAATACATTTAAACACAACCGATCGTCGTGGACACACGTGGTCATAATATCATCCATGTGCAGCGTGCCAATCCTTTATCGGTATTGTTGTCATATCATTGTCATAAATAATATCATTAAGATASACTACAACTTCACGCGCCAAATTGAAAAAAAACCTAACTATAATAGTAATACCTATTTTTATTTAGCAGGTTCCTAATTTCCAAGGCTGCTAATAAATTAACGAGTTAAAAATTAGTCCATTTTAATGAAGTTTGYGACGGGTTACTTTTCTTTCATGTTATTATTAATAAGTAATGTCATTTTAAATTATAACTCTCCCGAGATTTTTAACAATGTTTTTGTTTTAAATAACCAGTTATTTTTCATTTAGTGTTTTTGTTTAACCTTTCGAGTAAGAGATATATATTATATGATTATAAAATAGTTGGTGTGTTTTTTTTTTTTGTATAATATTCATAAAAAATATATTTACCTGTTTGCCCGTGAAAAAATATCAATAGCGTAAAGAGATTTTGATCTTGTAAAAAAAAAGTAAATACTTACAAGTTAAATACCGATTAGTCAACAAGCTGATAAAAAAAAAATGTTGCGTTTATAAGTAATTTATGTATAAAACTACGCTGTACATGGTTTTACAATATTATTACGTTATCATCATGATTATTATAACATGATAGAAATTTAAATGTATTATACGTAGAATGATTAATTTATCACATACACGTTGWATTTTATTTTTGTCACTAATGCACAATTTTACTGCACAGGCACTTGCCTACCGTCTTTTTGTCAAAACGTCACGTCCACTTTACCACAGTACCTGTACACTATACCTTACAAGCCAGAATACGTAATTATTGTTACAAATTATTGCCAACAAATACGACTCGAAAGAGAACATAATTGAATATTTTGTATATGTGCAATGTGACCAATGATGACCATACATATTGCTCGTCAGTTTTGAGCGTAATTCAATGGGTTCCGACCTCAAATTATGAAAATCATTCCCGTTWACAGTGATGATAGGAATAATATCAAAAAAATACAATATTCTGAACACCGACACCGTGGGCTCAAATATAATGTTCTCTTTCGATTCGAATTACGATTGGATTGTATTTTGCTGTCAAAACGAACGTGAAATAATCAACTAAACTTACTTTTATGGTATACAAAGGATCCCAGAGAGCTGATAGCGCTGGAGTCTGTGGTAAACGTCCGTTGCTATGAGCTGACGGCACTTTACTTTTGTGCACTTCTCGCGTCCAGAGGCTGTGGAAACCGCAAATTGAAGCCTTGTCAATCGCTTTGTAAAGGTACATAAATGTATATACTAACTTCTACCAGTAAAATATACCTCTTGCAAGGATTTGTTTGAACCCACAACACTTGCTGTCTGAGTAATTTTTTTTTGGATTTAAAGAAAAATTTATTTTTCAAGTCTGATTTCAGCCCCATAATATGCCTCAAAAACATTATTTCAAGTTTTTAGTCATCTTATTATTTTTTTGAAAATAAACTATAGGTACTTTAATTTTTATATTTTAAAATTTTCAATGTCAAACTTTGAGCCAATTATTATTTTATGTATTTGTACCTTCGTATGTTCGGCTCAAATATACTAATAATTGATTATAGYCGTATATATTATAATAGTATTTCAATTTTCGACACAACTAATAGGTAATGATACGACTAAAAATGTTGATATTATTAATAATAAACCGAATAATAAATAATAACAAGATTAATAATAATAGCTATTATTAAAAAGTCACAAACTATATGAAGCAGAGCGCAGACAGGTTGTTCGTAAATATAAATAATAAGCACGAATAGATACATCTTCTAGGTAGGAATAACAATCGATTATATAAAATAAGTACTTTTGATTAAAATGTTTAAATGTTTTATAATAATTAAAAAAAAAAAATCTATATAGTAAAATCAATTCACGATACGTCTAAAGGAACGATTCGTCTATAAATAGAAATTTTCAATTTCCGACGTGTGCTGTCGCGTACTTCTGAACGCTAAACGAAAACGTTGGTSGCTTCTTTAAAAACTGTACAATTTTTTACCACAGAAACTATTCGGAGTTGCGGTTTCTTCTTCGACATATTCGAAGCGTACCACGAACACAGGGAATGCACGCAGTTCCCGAACGACAACAACAACCCAAACACGTTTTGCATCGGACACCGGGAAGTACTCAACGTCAGAAAAATGAAACTTAGAGGACGTGAGTAACAAAAAATGTACTTACTATAATAATTAACAATCCACAATATTATAGATATCCCAATATTTCCTAAAATAATATTTTTATTTCATATTGGATTTAGAGATAATCGTTTTTACATTAGTACTGACAACAATGACTCATAATTTAATAGCAATTTGAAGACAATCGTCTTTGTGTTGTGTGCTCCTTTAAGATTAATAGATTAGACACTTATTTGTTAATACCTAAATTATCTAAATTAAGCTACACAAATTACCCAMCACATTGGCGGTGAAATTAATTGTATTAATTCATTTTAGGTTTACGATATTCAGTACCATATTAGCTGATTGAAAAACGTACCTATACCTAAATAGTAATTTTAATTGGGTAAATTTAACAAAATATAATATATTATGCAATGAAATCCGTAGAGAAAAACGATATGTATCTCATTTAGTTTTTAATTAAGGATAATATTCGACTACTGTACTAGTTTTCTTAAACCATTATCCGGTAAAATGCACCAAGACCAATTGAAACGTTTAGAAATTAATTGTATGTAGATACAACTACCGTGTTGAATAACGGTAAGATAACAATTCATCACATTGAAATTCGGATCTCGTCCGTTACAAAATAGTTTCCGTACTATTAATTAAATACTTATATTAATGTCGTACGAACGTTGGGCCATATTTCAAGCGAATCCTTTCTTTCGTCCAACTCACCGAATCGGTACAAATGGAGTATGAACGCCATTCAYTTGKTGGTGGCAAATTGCATGCCGCTAACAAAATGTCGTTCATATATTATAATATACCATATATAGCGCGTATAAAACGCATGCYACTAGAAATAAATCCTCCGCAAGAAAAATTAAGAAATTATATAGGTACATGCATGTTTTTGGTTTAAAGTGTTGTRAACTAATATCTAGTTGCTTGCTGCATTTTTTTAGGAATTTAAATGACTAGGTATTTTGTTTTTATTGTTGATCCAATTCAATGGTAATACATAAAATATTACGAAAATTGGCCYCACAAAAATCATTTGGGAAAAATAAAATTTTATACAGCCCAAAAACATGATAGCTATGTTACCTAATATAATGTGATGCTTGGTTTTTTYGTATTATTATAAGAACATAATATGCTGATATACTTTGTTGAGAGTACGGAAACATGTTGTGATTACAGAAATTTATTTTAATTGTAAATTACTATTGTTTATCAATTATAAACGTTTTGATTTATTTCTTCAAACACCGAAAGTATTGGTACAGGTACCTRCTTTCTATTCTTGAAAACTTCTCGATTATTTTTATTGCATCACTTTTTAGATAAAACTGCACACTTTGTTTAAGTGTCGTTGCAAAAATATTCTTTCTTGAAAATATTTTAATTGTTCCTATTGTCATAAAAACAAACAGTCCGTCCATTTATTTAATGGTTTTCAAGATGAAAATGTTCCACTCTTGTCTACTGCCATTGCTGTGTTCTACAGCTTTRAATCCGGTCGTCGTATTCTCTCGGCGTCTGTTTTGATGTATCGAGTGGAGCAATAATCAACCTCCACCGATTTACGTTCAATTCGTTAACCTGAAAAACAATATAATTACGCCATAAACATATATTATGAACGCTACATTTCAACACTAACTGTCATTAAGTACCTACCTACAGCGTAAACACGTAAATTGCAAACGTCTAACAGAATTCTTTTGATTAAATTGAAAGCCGTTTTTAATCCTAAATGTACCTATCAATCACGAGTTACTGGCTCAAGACTTTTGAACACGACAATCGAGATGTTTGTGTAACCGTAATGTTTTGTTCAAATAAGTAGTACAATTCCCGTACGTTTTGACGATATCACCAGAAAAACGGCATAGTCATCAAATAACCATCACATAAAAACTATCTAACTAAAATTTYTTGAAAACGTGTGGAACTGTACGGGCATTATACAGCATAAACTGCGCAAACGAATTACAGTTTACGCTTTATAAAACTAGACAGTGGTTCAGTTCATTTAAATGTTTAAGTCTTTTGCTAAATTTAAATTTAAAAAAGCACTTAGCATATTATACTGCTTGAAAATAAAATACCAACAAATTTGTTTTTGATTTGGACGTATGCATAGTTCGCACCTATCAATGGGKCCAATAACATTTTTTGAATTTTTATTACATTTCATGCAAAAAAATAAATAGGTAAACAAACAATTATTAACATTGTAGGCACTAAATAACGATTTAATAAAAAAAAAAAACTCTTATAAAGTTATAACCATTATTAATATTTAAATTTAAATTGAATACAATTTATAAAATAAATCAGACTTTTTAATTTATTTAATATTAAAAAAAAAAATGAACTCTCAATGCTCACCGTTAAATAAATATACAGAAGGTACTGCAAAGAGTACTTAAAATTATTATTAAATGATTGCAGTACGAATTCATTACAATTAAATACATGGTTCTCATTCTTTCTTAAAAAAAAAAAAAAAACTTTATACTTGGACACATGCGAAAATCCTAAAACAGATTTTTTAAACATTGGGACAGATATCAGGAGAGTCAGGACACATATTATGATGTACCTATACTCAAATACTAAAAGGTTAAGCTTCATAACACATATTGACTTCCATAATATCCAGCAAATAATTAAAATACATGAGGCTCTACTAGGTTATATGAATATTTTTTTGGCATTCCAATAGTAYGTATTGACTATAACAATAATCATTGATAATGTGACTTTTTTATATTTCCTCATTCCTTTTAGAATTTAAAAACTTATTAAAAAGGTTTCATTATTCAGTATTTAAGTAGTACCCATTTCGCAATAAAAGTAAAGTATTACTCTGAACAAAATTTTTCTACWTGTCTGCTAAAAATATTAACTGTAAGTTTAGTATCAAAGTTTAGTATTTGGTAAGTACCAAATTATGAATTTAAGTAGTAATAAATAATATATTTATTTAATAGGGTTTTATAAAACCTATACATTTTGAAATTATTACAATATGTAAAATAATAATATATATTTAGCCATCTGTTATACTTATGTAAAAAATGCATAAATCAACTACACCGTCTACAAAAACAAAAAATGATTACCGAAAAAAATAATTTTTGATAGTTTTTTGTGTTCTTGGRAAGTTCAGAGGGTTTTAACCCAAGCACAGACGATGATAATGCTTGCTGAATATTGTAATCAAAACCACTTGATTAAATGGCTTTTATTTTTTGTGTCACAAAATCAATTCAATATTATTTAAAAATGGATAATATTATGTTATTTTTTATTTTTTATTTAATGAAGATTGTAGAACTATAATTGTAATGTAWAAAGAAATTAAATCATAAGATATATTATACGAGTATCGATGTTACAAGCATCAAACTATGAATTATTACCATGAAAATATTATAAAACCAAAGTGTAGTTCATTACACTTTATTTTTAATATTTTTTTCTTATTATAATAAATATAACATAGTATTTCTGTTAATTAAAATAATAATAATCTTTATCTTAACTTTATTTTGTCTACATGCTTATTTATTTTATAATTTTCCGTTTAAATATATCTACAATACAAATTTCAATGGTTAACTTACTTAATAAACCAACTCTTATAAAATATGCATATAAATCTAAAATTTTAGCTAGTATTTTCTGTTTTATATTAAAAATTATATGCATTTTTGACGGCGTGCGGTGGTAATTTTA